AAAAAAAAAAAAAAAAGATGAGAAATCTGCTCTGCCTAGGAGTAGCTTGTCCACTGCCCACCATGGGTTTGCTGAGTTCATATCAAGCAACCTTACTCCCAGAGAAGATGGGCAGGTTAGGAGTCCAGCAGCCCAGGCTCCTCTCTGCAACCTAGAATAACCAAAGACTGGATGAATTAGTGCATTTAGCACCAATCCAGGTAAAAAGGTTGTGTAATGTCCTTCCCAGTGTCATATCTCTCACACTCAGAATTCCTCAAGCTCACACACTGCTTCTTATGACCCTTCCAGGGTAAAGTCCAGATGACCCAACAAATCATGCGCTCAGCTCAATTCACCCCTCACCCGCCTCCACTCTGGGCAGCCGAAACTGTTCACCTCTCTCCTCATATGCAGTTCCCTGTCTGCCCTTAGTTTCAGCATACTCCAGGAAACCCCTCCTGGCACCCACTCACCCATACTGGATCAGAGGCCTCTGCTTCCCCAGCAGATTTCATCTCCCAGGGGCACCGGAAGCTTGGGGAGCCCGGTCCAACTCTGCACATATCCAAGGTGAATCTGGGCCCAGAATCCCTCTTGGTCATTCATTTCTTTGCCCAAAACTCCTACTCCAGGGACCACCTTGCCTGCTGTCTACCCTACCCTTCTGTGCTCTGCATCATCCCCATTGAAATATTCCCAACAGAAAGAACATGGGGGGGGGGGCACGTTTCAGCCTCTGCTCTCAGGAGTGGCTGACGGCCAACACAACAGCTCTGTTAGAAGGAATAGGTTGAAGGAGGCACCTGAAACTCCCGACAGAAGTCTCGCTCTGGCCCACCAGTGCAAGGAAGCCCGGGGGCTCCTGTACAGTCGGCAGGTCTGGGACCAAGCAAGGATTGGCCAGAGACTACTTAGCCCCAACATAACTTGGTCTAATTAGGACTGGCAGGGGTGAAAAAAACATGCACACTCCTTGAACCTGCTTATGGTTTTGTCCCAACACTTTTCCCTGTCTTTAGCCACCCTTTTTTCAGTAGGTCTCCTCCCTCAGGCCCAGGGTCACCCATCTGATAAGTTGAGGATGAGGCGGAATGGAAGTTGGTGGCCCGCTCTGGGGAACTACCAATCCTTTCCCCCAGAAAGGCTGCTTCCAGGAATACCCTCTAAAACATGAAAGGAAACACAGGGCTGGAAGTGTAGAGGATGACAGCCTCCCAGTTAGGCCCTGCTCAGTGTGGAGGCCAACTCTGGCCACCCTGCCCATCCCATCAACCCTCAGGAGTGTGGCTAAATGGCCTCAGTCTTAACCAGCTAAAAGACGGTTATATGGTAAGGCATGGCTTGACGTAGAAAGGTGGAGTGGACGCTGAGCAGAATGGGGCACACCTGTAATCCCAGCACTCTGCAGGCTGAGGCAGGAGGATGGCAGGGAGTTCGAGACCAGCTTGGATACACAGGGAATTCAAGGCCAGCCCGACTACACACATTTGAGACCCTGTCTCAAAAAAAAAAAAAAAAGGTAAAGTTCGCAACTAGACTGTAACCCTTCCACACCCATCTTTTACAAGGGTCAGGTGGTAGGAGGCTGACCACACCCGTGTTCAGCACGGTGGGAGGTGGAGGGACAGACCCGGGTGACAAGACAGACAAGAAGACATTCCTCCATTCCGTGCTTAAAACAGATGCAGACGAAGGACGGCCCGACCCTGCTCCCAGTCCCGGCGGACCGACCCACAACCAGACGCGCGTCTCACCGAGCACCACTGGGGGGTGACGTTGGGCAGGCAGCGCCGAGTCTGCGGGCAGCATTAGCAGCAGCAGCAGCAGCAGCAGCAGGCACAAGTGGCCACTCGGGAGCACGGCCACGCGGCAGAGGCAGAGGCGCCTGTCCATGGCGTGCGACTGCGGCTGCCAGCTCGACGTGCAGGTTCACCGCTCCCAGCCGGCGCCTAGACAGGGCGACGGCGACGTGCTTTTAACCCCATCGCCAGCGCCCCGCAGCCGCTAGCAGCCGCCCCGGCCAATGAAGACCCGCCTCCCGCACGCGGCCTGCCAATAGGGTCTCGGCCCCGGCGCGTCTCTCCCGTCTGAGCTCATCCCCCGCCCTTGCCTACCCCTGGGCGGCTTCCCGAGTCTGCGTTGCTGGCCGAGCGCATCGATCAGCTCCTGGCTCTCAGCCTGTATGTACTCGGCCAAGCCTTTTGGTACCCCACGTCCGCGCCGTGCAGGTCTCGCTCCGATTCCTGGGTCCACTCTGGCCTGGAGAATCGGAAACAGACCGAGCGGAGAGAGCATTACCGGGTCTGAGTTAGCTATGGCTGAGCAACCCTTGTCAAAGCAAAAAGAAGAGAGGCCTGGGCAATCTTTGGGCCTTGAGCAACACTTGATCAGGACCTTTGTGGAACCCCAAATCTGTCCCCCGCAGGGCACGTAGGTACAGCTACACATAGCTCTGCGATCCCCTACACACACTACCTACAGTTAGGGATACAAGTCAGCTTGTAATCGGCACTGCAAAATGGAACTTTAGATGTTAATTTGTTTTCTGTAGAGATGGGCAGCATTGCTCCTGCAGAGCACCTGACAAGCACGGACCAACACTCTCTCTCCTCATCCCCTCAAAAATGACAGAATATGCAGATGCTGACACCAGGAAACCTGGAGCTAAGTTTCCTTTCTACAGGAAAGGGTACCATGAGCTGAATGGCTGGCAGTGAAAAAGCAGCTGTGGAGATTTCCATTATCTCTGTAACCCTCCACTCTGTTCCTTACTTTTCTTTTTTTTTTTTTTTTTTTCTGGTACTGGGAATCAAACTCACGACCTCATGCTTGCCAGGCAAGCACTGTGCCGCTGAGCTAAATCCCCAGCCCCTTCTGTTCCTTATTGTAAAAGGCCCTTACCCCACCTGTACATCCTGAGATGGAATTGGTTTTTTGGGGTTTGCTTTTTTTTTTTTTTTTTTGGTCTTTTTGAGACGGAGTCTCGCTTTGCAGTTCAGACTGGCCTTGAGCTCACTTTCTAGCCCAAGCTAGTCTCGAACTCGCAACGATCCTCCTGCCTCAGCCTCCCGAGTGCTGGGATTACAGGCGTGTGCCACCACCCGCGGCTTCTGAGATGGGATTTGAAGCAAATAGGCCTCTCCATTTCCTTGGAGTTAGCTTTAAATAAATCTTTTTTCCGTTTTACCAAAATATATGGCCTCGGGGCTGGAGATTTAGCTCAGCGGCACAGTGCGTGCCTGGCAAGGGCAAGGTCTAGAGTTCAATTCCTGATACTGTAAAAAAAACAAAACAAACAAACAAAATATATGGCCTCTTTTGACTTGCTCAGCAGTGAGAAAAAACCTGAACTTATGAACCTGAGTGGCCAGAAACAAGGTTTTTTAAAGTGAAGGATCTGGGGGCTGGGGATTTAGCCAGAGGCACAGCGCCTGCCTGGCTGAATCCCCAACATGAAAAAAAAATCTGCTGTGTGGTAGAACTGTGGTAGGCAGTAAGTAGTAACCAAGGATGCAAGGATACGCTGGGTTCTTGCTGTACCCCAGGAAGGAACGGCGGTGACAATGAAGGGAAAAAAATAGACAAGAGACAAAAGGCTGGGATCAGGTGGAGGTCCTCTCTCCTGAGCAGAGAAGGGGAACTGCCCCAAAACAGTACAGCATGTATTTATACCCTGGAGAGGTTGGTTATTTTCCGCCTCGCTGCCCAGCAGTCAGTTAACAAGTTACCATTGCTTGTTTATGGCCTTGGAGGAGCTCCTGTGTTCTCTGGCTGCCTCCACCCCGAGCGGGTAATTATTGTCCAGCTTCAGCGGCTCCCAGCACAAGGGTGTAATGGGAAAGGACTGGTGAAGAGCCTGCTCTTGCAGTCACGATGGGCTAATAGAAGCCAGGCAGGGGATGCTCCAGTTCTACTGGTTGCTGGGCTGAGGCCTAAATGTAGAACTTAGCAGAGTCCCTAGAACTGGGGAATACAGGGTGGTCTCACTCTAGCAAGTGCAAAAGTGCTGAAGAGCAATGAGGTTAGCCTGTCTAGGCAGCAAGGAAGCCACTGAGGCTGGAGATGAGCCAGCTGGGGAAGAGGGAGAGTTGGGGAAAGCAGCCCAGAGTCCCTGCAGCAGCCTAATTCACTCGGAGTGAGACACCCAGGGAATGTCGTGACTGGGGTTAGAGGGAGAGGGACAGGGCCTCACTTAACGTTTAGTGGCATGTGGAGAACGACCCAGAGCAGTCGGGGTATAACCTGGGACCCAAGGAAGAGGTGACTGTGGGGATAAGGGTAGTTTGGCTTTCGGGGGGTGGAGCTAGCAAGACTTAGTGATCACTAGTTGTGGATCTGAGAAGCAAAGAGGCACGTAGGGTGTACCTGAGCCAGGTCAGGAGACAGGGCATTGGGTAGATGGCCAGGTTGTTGTAAAAGGGGAGATGCTTACTTGCTAACCCTTCTCTATGGTGCCAGAAAGAATCAGTGCTGAGCCGGGCATGGTGTCACGCGCCTGTGATCCCAGCACTAGGGAGGCTGAGGCAGGAGGATTGTTGCAAGTTCAAGACCAGCTTGGGCTACAAAGTGAATTCAAGGCCAGCCTGAACTGCATAGCGAGACCCTGTCTCAAAAAGACAAAAAATAATCAGTGCTGACCAGGCTTTGGCATCTCCCCGAGTAATAAACTGTAACATCCGCTGGACTTGTGGGGTTGGGGTGCCAGTGAACCCTCCTGACAATGGTGACATAGGGGAAATGCTAGATGTCAAATACACCCACTTTGTTCGTGTTCCCCAAAGTCAAAGAATGAATTCTAAAGAAAAACAAAGTTAAGAGTGGGGAAATTTATTTGTTTGTTTGTTTGTTTTTTCCGGTACTGGGAATCAAACTCGAGACCTTGTGCTTACCAGACAGGAGCTGTGCCGCTGAGCTAAATCCCCAGCCCCGTGGGGTTTTTTTGTTTTTTGTTTGTTTGTTTTTTAAGAGTGGGGAACTTTATTGAAGAAAAGAAATGGGGAATAAAACTAGCTCCTGAAGCTGCGTGTGGTGGCGCACGCCTGTAATCCCAGCACTTGGGAGGCTGAGGCAGGAGAATTTTTGCAA